ATTCCTGCTAATACTTAATGTATACTTCTTTTAAGCAGTTACGTACTCCTAAATGCGCTTCAGGTTAAACAAACATCTACCTTGGTATCTCAGTAGTGGCCAGTAGATAGAAAGCAGAAAAGTGGAAGAAACAAAGATTTCCTTCATTTAGGGAGTTTGATTAGCCAGAAATGGCTTGGCTTCCATTAGTTTTTCTCTTTCTTTAACCCTTTTTTAGTTCTGCATTTTGCTCTGTCCTTTAACTGTGAGATAATCAATATACTTCATGTCTCGTTGGGACAGTAAGTGAGGCTGAAGACCTGCTTTTGGATTGCTTGGTGGAAGAGAAGGAAAGGAGTTAAGACAGAGGTTCTAGGAGCAGGAAAATGGCTCTTGAAAGCAAGTGTCCTGTTCCTTTGCTTGCTTACCTCATGAGGTTGCAGTTGTTCCATCTTCTTTTAACCAAAAACTCTTTTCTGCTGTTTTTGTGTCAACAGTACTGTACTATAAGAAGCAGTGAACAGTACTGTTACTTGTACATATAGATAAGCATTCCTTAAAAGGTGCTCTGAACAGACTATAACAATACCTCTTTAAATACCCAAGTTTTATGAAGCGTAACAATTGAATGTTTTCATGGAGTAAAGTGACATTGCTCTGCTTAATAATGAGGGAACCACAGGCATAAGGACACAAAAAAAAACCACCGTGGTGCTTTTCCATCTGGTCTGTTGTATGTTCTCCACTGAGGCCAGAATACTTGCATTCAGCAGCAGGTCAAAGAGGTTGGACTGTTCTAGTTTTCTTCTTTTCTGGTTCTGGCAGTGAAAACAAAGATAGCATGGGAGGGCAGACTGCAAGATAAGTTCGTTCTCTCTTCTTGGCACTAAGTCTGTATCATCCTGGTATCATACAGGCTGGGGGATGAAGGGGTTGAGAGCAGCCCTGAGGAGAAGGACTTGGGGGTACTGATAGATGAAAAGCTGGACATGAGCCGGCAATGTGCTCTTGCAGCGCAGAAGGCCGACTGTATCCTGGGCTGCATCAGAAGAAGCATGGCTAGCAAGTCGAGGGAGGTGATTCTGCCCCTCTACTCTCCACCTGGAGTCCTGCATCCAGCTCTGGGGTCCTCAGCACAGGAAGGACGTGGACCTGTTGGAGCGGGTCCAGAGGAGGGCCACAAAAAAGATTGGAGCGCTGGAACACCTCTGCTGTGAGGAAAGGCTGAAAGAGCTGGGGGTGTTCAGCCTGGAGAAGAGAAGGCTGCGGGAAGACCTTATTGCAGCCTTTCAATACTTAACAGGGACTTATAAGAAAGATGGGGACAGACTTTTTAGCAGGGCCAATAGCGATGGAACAAGGGGTAATGGTTTTAAACTAAAAGAAGGTAGATTCAGACTAGACATAAGGAAGAAAATTTTTACAATGAGGGTGGTGAAACACTGGAACAGGTTGCCCAGAGAGGTGGTAGGTGCCCCATCCCTGGAAACATTCAAGGTCAGGTTAGATGGGGCCCTGCGCAACCTGATCTAGTTGTAGATGTCCCTGCCAATGGCAGGGGGGATGGACCTGATGACCTTTTAAAGGTCCCTTCCATCCCAAAGCATTCTATGATTCTATGATCATCAAACTCTCACACCTGTTGTGATATTGCAATTTATAACAAGTTTGGTTTTGAACAGTTGTGGAAATAGAACTTTGACTAAGGGAAATGCGTATTCAGTGTATGTTGAATCACTATTGTCTTGTTGAGTAAAAATTTCTTTATAGTGAAGAGGGGAATTTGAAAAATGGATTGACAGAATTTTTCCAATACCAGACCTTTATTTTGGGGGTGGGGTGTGTGTATCTCAGTTTACCAGGACACTTGTCTTTTAGTTTCTGGGACATTGGATAGACAATAATAAACTGAACTGAATTAGAGTATTTTTAAATACATTTCTTTACTTGCAGAGTTTTTTCCCCGAATACATCAACCAATCAAGTTTTTTTACAGAATAAATGTGCTACTCTTTTCTGAAGAAAGAGCGTTGAAGCCTCTGACTTGCATGAAAGACTAAATGCTATTTTTTCAAATTGACATCGTTTCATGCTTCTGAGTGCCTATGTTGTCTCCTGAAAACTGATCATTTTACTCGGATTATAAGATACCACTTGTATCTTTATCAATGAAAGAGAAATAATCAGTTGCCTTTAATGTTACCGTATTAAGAGCATGTAGGCTTTTTTGTAGTTTTCAGTGGTGCTTAATTATGTATTATTTCTCTTCAAAGAAACTGGATACAGAGCCTTTGGAACTGTTTGAGATTGCAGTCAAAGAACTCACATTTGATCAGCTGCAGTTATTGAAGGTATTGTTCTTTGGCTAGTATGATACGCTATGTGTACAATTTCAAATTGTGTATGAAGCTTAGATTTTTTGGAGTAACTATAGATAGTTTGGGAGAGTACAGGTTTTAAAAATTGTACAAGTAGAACAAGTAGCTAATTCCAAGAATAGTACTTTTGCACCATCATTAAAACTGGAATGAATTTCATTACTTATGTTCTAGAGAGGTGGTCTGACAACTTGTGTAGATCCATATCATTATGCTAACGTTGATAATTTTAAAAAAAATAAGAAAGACTGAAAGTGCTGGTAGGGTTCACTGAAAGACAATGCTTTGGAGTCTTTGAAGAAAGATATCTGGCACAAAGTCTATCTGATTTTCAAATATTTCTGTGTTAACAAGAGAGATCCAGATTATGTTGAACTCCTCTTTGGAGGTGCATGTGGAGGTGTAAAGGGTCCATGATTCAATGGTATGGATTAGACAAACTGGCTAGAACTAAATCATTATTTTATTTAATTGAGTGTCACTGTATCTTCTGAACAGAAGTGCCATGCCTACATAAAAGGGGGCCACTGAAGACCTAGCCGAGATATCTGTCCTCGGTCAAGGAAGCACTTGGTTCATCCAAGAGCTACATGTTTCTTTTTACTTAAAATTATGTGGTCTCCTCCTTTTTGTGGAGAGAGAATTTGAATGGAGCGATAGAGTTGGCCCTATGCCTGGCCTGATTCTATCTCAGTATGTGACTACATTATAAAATCACTGTTGGCCCTCTTGTCTGCATTTGATTGGAAACACGGAGTCTAACATCTGACAGAGGAGGGTTTAATGTTTAGACTTCTTCACATGTTAATGTTATATTATGTGTGTTTCTACCCTTGAATGGGTTTTCTGAATTTTCAGTAAGAATATTTTCAGTTTGTTTTTGAACTTTCCTTGGAATCTTTATGTTTTCAAGTTTGAAAGAAAATTGTGATGTGTACTAGTAGTTCCTTTAATCTTTTACAAATTACTAAAACTGTAAACCTTTGAACTTATAAACAATTTATAAGGGAAATTAGTTCTATTTTACATGTAGTAACATCTCTATGGGTGGAGTATTTGTTAATTTTACTCTTCTTATGCTCTTTAGCTGGCTCACGTGACTGCCTTGAAAGTAAAAGATCACAATGGTATGTACTAGTTTGCAAGAGTCTTCAGATTTATTTATTCCCATGTAATGATATATGTTCTATGATTGCAGCCACATTTGGCTTCTTCCTGAACATTTTTGAATGCTTATGTAGTTACTTTAATTTTGTGCATGCTGTAGAGTTCTTTGCTGGGAAGTAAATACCTGGACAGGAGTTACTCCCTTGGGAAGATGGGACAGGAGGGTAGAAGATGAATGCATAGCTAAATATATATCTATGAATATTCTTAACAAAATTTCTACTAATGTTTCCATCTTACACTTCTCTAACTGTACCTTTTTGGCAGCTCTTCAGCATTGCTAACAAGAACTTTGGTAACTGCTGTAGGGTGTCTTACTGGTGCTGTAAATTTTTGGCCTTAATTCATCCACTTTATAGGGACAGCAATATCAGGCAAAGTATCTCACACATCCTACCTGTCTGGGAAAAGATAAAATAAGAAGCAAGGCTGCTTCTACTGGATGTGATTCAGTAACTGAAATGGTGAGGGATGGGAGAAGCTGCTTCTGATAAGTATTTTGGCAAGGCTTTTAATGGGGGGGGGTGTGTGTGTGTGTGTCAAAAAACCTTCCCACTGGCAAAATAGGAATTGCCAACACCATCGTTGGAGTATGTCAGTGATAGAGGGAAGGCTTAGGTAATCAAAAGATAGACCTGATCTATTCTTTACTCATATGAGTACCCTTATGATTTTGAGTCAGTCTTTTCTTGCTGGGATTAGCAGTGCTATTTGTTTTGATTTAATACTTTGTATTTCTTTTCAGCATCTTTTAAAGATGAAGAAAACTCTGCTTTTGAGACCCAGCCATTTCCTTCTCTGCAGAGAGTAAGCAGTGAATATAGAGCAACAGAGATGATGATTGTGGAACATGAAAACATGCATTTTTCTTTCAGCTTTCCACACATAGCAAGGGATATTAATTTTTGGTTTTAGGCCTCAGATACCAATGCTGGAACTGAGAACATAGGCTTTATTGTTGGCCACTGGAGTCTTTTCAGCACTTAAAAGTAATAGTTTGCATATCTTTCAAGCTTCTTAATTAATGAACCCAAGTTCTAGAGCTTGGGATACACTCAGTTTTACAGCTGGTTAACATCCGGGCAGTGCGTTTTAAAGCATCAACAATTGTTTACTAATTTTGGAAAAAAACCTGGCCTTTGATGGTTCATCCCATACTCTTGGCCATCCAGCAGAGCCAGACACAGAGAAATTATGAGTGAATTTCTAGTATGTTCCTGTTCCTGACTATTTGCTAAGTCTGGGCTTTGTGTTGGCTTATTTTTCACAGAAACAACTGGCGAAAACCAGTCTGATACCATTTACAGTGTTTTTTTCTAGAACTTTTTTCCCCTGCTTACTGTTTTTCCTAATGTCTGAACTGCTTATTAACATGCCTTTTAGCGACTTGTTTTATACAATAATACTGCTTTTTATTTGGATTATGGAGATGATTAGTATCCAGTTATTTATAGGCTTATATCAGAGCATGTATGAAATGTCAGTCAGTTAATAGGTCATATGCCCCACTGTATTTTTTTACTGTCTAATCAGATTACTGCATAACTACAGAAAATAAAGAACTCTGTGTAATAGACTAAACTACTGAGATTCAATTCCTCTACCTGTTTTGATTCCCCAAATTGAATTTTCTTCCTATAAGAAAGGGTATGTTATTCTCTTCTGTACCTGTCATCTTTATAGGGTTAAAGAATCACCTGCCAACGTTTCCTTAATTTCATTAGCTGTTAGTTTCACCTTATGATTTGAAGTCACCTTACAACTAATTCCTTAGAAGAATTTCACATACTCTTGTTCTCATCATCATAATGGCAAGCTTATGGATTTCGTACTTAGGACTGTGTGTTACTTAAGATACTTTTTGCATTCAAAAAAACTTCCTGGAGAAGTAGAGCACACTTCTTCTTTAGGAGTATAAATGAGGTATTTCTCACACATGTTAAGGTGAATTGACTTGCATTTGTTCCTTGTCAAAATTTTGTCCTTAAGATTTTATCCATTTTTATGTATTTCCTAACTTTAAACTGAAGGAGAAAAAGGTGTATATGTATCTTGTGTTAAATGTTAAAAACTTAGGGGTTTTTATTCTACTGTTAGACCCTGTTGGTGTTAAATTCCAATGTAGTGTCCCAGTAATTAGCCTCATTGTGCTTAGTTGCCCTCCTTTGCTGTGGGGTCTCTTCATAATGAAATTTTTTTCAGGTCCTGGAGTCTGTTTCTGAAGATGTTGGGTTTAACATAGAAATAAAATGGATCTGCCAACAAAGGGTAAGTAAATGTACACGTGATTTGCTTTGATACTTCGCCATTCCTGCAGCTAAAGCTTGTAATTTGGCATGGAAATTCATGAGCTACAAACAAAAAAAGGCATAATTTTGAGGTTTTTTTGTGACTCTTGTTTTATTTTAACCCACTGTCTTTAAAACTGGGAGTAGAGTAGCACTGCTCTAGCAAATGAACAAACTTACTCTTAAAACAATAGGAAGTATTTATAGGATTGAGTTCATAATGCAGCTCAGACTGCTTTTAGTAGAAGACCCTTTTTAAACTCAATGGATCACAACAGGTCAGGCATGCCTATACATGGGAAAAGGGACAAGAAAATCAGACTCTCCTGGCCTGGTGCAGGAGCAGCTACAACATGGTGCAGTAATACAGCCAACTGTTTCCTTCTTGTCAGCAGTACGGTGGACTCAGCTGGATTGCTTAGCGCTCAGTCTAGAAGGAAATGGTTGTCAAGGCTAGGACTGGAAGCCTGGAGTGGGAGAAAGAAGCTAAGTAGAGGGGTAGGTGGAAGTCCGTATGCATGGAGACATGCTAATGCTCTCAGAGACTGGTCAACTGCAGAAAGACTGATACCTGCTATTCTCAAAGACAAAGGATATCTTCTTTATTTCCACAAATCTTACTGTTGCATTTTTATATTTAGAAAAAGCAGTACAAAATATCTGTGATAGTTTTTAGTGATCTTTCATGGAATTCCTTTTGTGTTTTCAAAATTAGAAAAGGCTTCATAGAAACTCTCTCCTTGGATCGGAGGATGGTGAATTTTTCAGTGAATCTTACTACTGTTAGAATTCAGCTGCACCTCACAGACTGACAGTCATGTAGAGCTGTAACTAGCATTCAGTAGACTGAAGGGAGTGATTTCTATGTTCAGACCTGCAAACTGAATTCTCATTTTGCTCAGGTTGAATGAAAGACCATTGCTCGTTAAAATAATTTTAGTAAGCATTAATTTAGATGGCTGAAACTTGTCCTTTCTTTTTATAGGATGGACAGTGGGATGGCAACTTGTCAACTTACTTTGATATGAACCTCTTTCTAGATATTATTCTAAAAACTGTTTTGATGAATGCTGGCAGAAGAAGGATTGTATTTTCTTCTTTTAATGCAGATATTTGTACAATGTAAGTTAAGAAGAGATATACAATGTATTTTCTTTTTTGCCTTTTTTTTTTTTTCCTTTGGTAAAATTTACTTTGGACATAAGAGTACCCAACATAATAACACATGTTTTTGATTAGACCTAAATTTCAGGTGCCAAAGTAGTTGGGGATTGAAATGAGAAATTAGACTACTTTTGCCATCTGGGCTGTGCCAGAAATAAAATAGGGGAGCAAAGTCGAAGTAGATATTTTTGTCAAGTGCCTTCCTGAATGCTTCAGTCTTTCCTGACACAACAAAAAAGGTCAAGATTTCTTCTGATATCACGAAGTCTTTTTCATTCACATTTAAGGGGTACGCAAGCCTAATCTACAAACAAAATTAGTTTTGTTAGAATTTTTTCCACTATACCTGCCTTTTAAAAAGGACACAAAATGAAATAGCTTTGAATTTCCTGTGCTTGGTTTCTTGTTAAGCGGTTTGTTTTCCTTTTAATGGAGTGTCACGTTGAAGGTATTGGAGCACAGAAAAAGCATAGGAGTTGAACTGGGGAACAGTTGGGATGCATATGAACTAACAATATGCTCTAGTACTTTTTAACAAGAAGTGATTTAGCACTGTTAATGAAAGGTTTTATGGAAATCTCACTTGATGAGAGACTGCACTGATGAAATACCACTGAAGGGCAGGACAAAACCAAACTGAGGTACTGATAAAAGGGCCAAGGAACAAGTGCATAAGAGTAACACGCTAATCCCAAAGCTTTGCTTCCATCTGTTGTCATTTCATACTACCTTTCTGGTATCAGACTTGAAAAACACATTAATAAGGTTAGGTATTGTATATTAAACATCTTTATAAACTCTTATAATGATTGCTCATTTTATTTTAAGAAGAAAATTACAGAATTGGACAGTCTTCAAGAATTTTGTATAAATATTTTGAGGATGTGCATCTGAGTTCAATTTAAAGTCTAGTTTCCCTTAAGCTGTGTGTATTAATCTCTAATTAGTGGTAAAAGTAACAGAGAGAACAGTTTGTTGACATAGTTTCATACTAAACTGTAATACCATCTTGTTGCACCAGCTAGGAATTAGAAGAACATGCAGTAAAGGGCGTAATCCTCCTCAAACAGTAAGATTGAATTTCCCTGTTTTTTAACACATATGCTATTTGTAAACCTTTTCTTATAACAGGGTTCGGCATAAGCAAAACAAGTATCCTGTGTTATTTCTCACCCAAGGAGAATCTAAACTCTATCCAGAACTTATGGATCTTAGATCTCGTACAACTCCAATTGCCATTACTTTTGCACAGTTTGAAAACTTGCTGGTAAGCTGACAAGTTCTGGTATTAATCTGCAGTAAAATGAAACTAAATTATTACTACTTTTTGGAAATCCGTAACTTTTGACACTAATGCTTAAAATTACAAACAACATCACAAAAGAAACACAGTAACATTTAGTAACTGCCAAAATAATGTCTATTTCGATGTCTGTATAATACATTGTTTTAAACATAGTGCTATCAGTAAACTCTTTAACTGAATTAATTTTTTTTTATTAATGTTATGTATGAAATTGTAAGGAGTTGTAATTGTCAAAGGATAAAAAAAAATTATGTAGAAGTTTTTCAGAAACATGGATTTTAATTGAAGTGTGTTGTGTTTCAGGGAATTAATGTGCACTCTGAAGACCTGCTGAAGAATCCATCATTTATTAAAAGGGCCAAATCTAAAGGCCTAGTGATTTTCTCATGGGGTGATGATGCAAACGACCCAGATAACAGGAAGAAGCTGAGAGAATATGGTGTTCATGGGCTAATATATGACAGGTACTTCACTGTGTTTTAAAAATAGTAATAATTAAGCTGAGAAATTATTGTATCCCGATTTCTTGTGAAATTTTTCATTGGTGCAGAACATCTTCTTCCTTTGGTGCTGTAAGCAGAAGCCCATAACCCCAATTCAAAAACAAGACTAGCATTAATTCCTACTTTTTCAGCGGTATATATGAAGCAAAATAACTTTTGCTTTTCCTGAGGTTATTGTAAATACAATTTGATCCTCTAAAGAACTAGTGCATGGCATACACATTTAACATGCTATTAACATTCCTGATAGTAATTCTTAAACTTATGCATGACATGGTGAGGACAATGTTATTTAACTGTTTGGCTGAAATCTTCAGCTTTCTACATTTAGTTATGGAAACAGTTAACACAAATGAATGATTTTAACTTTTTTTTTGGCCAACATTCTATTGCATTTCAAAGCTGTGAATTCACCACTTCTCCTATTAAAATTAGCTTGGAGTGACTCCCAGGGCAAACTGCCAAATTAATCACTTCAGAAAGTAGTTATATCCCCATAATTCAGGTGGACATCAGAATACCATGGTAAATCTTTGAACAAAAGTGTTATTTTAGTTCCTTACAAACCCCAAAAGTTTTAGCTCTTTTATCCTAAACGATGTGATATTCATTATTAAAAGATGATGATAAATTTGAGAAGCTGTATTAAATTAGACTTTCTGATAGATTACAAAGAATATGTAATTGGGAAAGCATTAAATGTAACTGAAGTGTCAAAGTATAGAAGACTTTGAAACCTTTTGCTTTAGCAAGGGCATTGCTTTGCATATTGTTTTAACAAAAAAAAAAAGGGGTATGTGTGAGGGAAATCAAGTAATTGTCAAGGACTCTGTTTTATGAAGTGAAAACTGAGAGTCAAGTTAACATATTTAGAGGCAAGAAATTAAATAGGTTCTAGCTTGCCAGTGTAAAAAAGAGTTAACTCCCTTCAATTTGTTCTTGACTATTGAGAGTCCTTCCAGAGTGGTGGGTCCGGTGCTTCTCTGGTTTGCCAGAGGTCTCCCTTCTTGTACTGTATAGTATGTCTCCTCCTTTTCATTGCTGGTAAAAATTAATAACAAGATTTTTACACTGAGGATCAGCTTCAGACTGGTCATTGAAATGTAAGTCCTCTTCCTGCTACAGCAGTACTACATGTTGTACCTCTCCTACAACCCAAGATTGAGGCCCCTTTAGCAGATGAAAAATATCTTTGGACTAGTATGCAGACAAAGTGGTACTCTGACTCTTTAGTGTACAGTCATAGAGTTGTTATGAAATCCTATGGCATGCATAACTCGAAGTGATAAATTTTTGGTCTATAGACAGGTGGGGTGTTTTAATCAAATACTATTGCATAAAGTGTTCTTATGAAATGTCTGTTCATCTGATGTCTACTAATCCAGTCTTCTAGAGTTCTTAATTACTCCTGATGTAATATATACACACTACTATGGTAAAACAGTAAAACAGGTGACAGCCTTATTTCTGACTTCATGTTGCTTTTATTACTTTAGATACTTAATTGCTTATGCTTAAATAATGTTGCAGTTATGTCAAGGCTGCAAGTCTGCTACATGTCCTCTTATGTTCCTTTTTGTACTTTTTATTGTGTTTTAAGTTGCAGTATGATAGCAGAACACCTTTTACCTCACCTTTTGATGACTAACCAATTCATTGGAATTGTTTATAGGCTGAATTCCCTTGTGGATTCAACTGGACAAAAAATTCTTAACCCTCCTGCACTATTTAGGCCACTTAGGTTCTATAATCATATTCATCTCTCCTCTCACTGCCTGCCCCCTGTATCTTTTCCACCTTGTTGACATCTTTCTACTTTATTGAGAGGAATCCCAAAATTAATATTAATTCCAAAGCTGTTTAAAAAACAGTAGTTCAGTGGTGCATTTTTTTCTTTTTCAAGTCACAAACTGCAATTGAGTAGCAAACAATTATCTCTTCAGTATAATTGTTGCAGGATCGTTAACTAATTTCTAGACACTGTTGACCTTTTTTTTTTTTCCATAAGCCAAAACGAATACTGGAATGTTCCTTTACAATTCTTAATTATTTTTCAAAATTTATTAATTGTCTGAATAGAATTAACTTTAATCTTAATATAGGTTCTTTAGAAGGAACATGTCACTTTCTGAAAATTGCATGCGATATCTCAAGCTGGACATTTCAAAATGCGGGTGGTACCTGCAAGTCCTGGATGGCGTGTCTAAACGTAAAAACTGTCAGCAAGTGTTTCCATTCACAGTTAGAGCTGCTGAGTAAAGAGGCAGTCTTTCAAATCATTTGAGAGTATGAAGTTAATACCAAGAGTTTAAATTGTCAAAAGTTCAAATAGGTATGGTGTAAGCATCCATATTCTGTGCTGTTTGAAGTTTAGAAACAGATAAATTCAAAACTACTCTGAGGCAGAACTCGAGTAGAAAGAGATATGTACATGCTTGTTTCAAGGTCTAGAAATAAGTAGGGACTTCAGTAATCTGTTTAAAGTGTAAAGCCAGTTTATGCTATGGTTGCATCTTCAAATTCCAGAATATTTCGAGGGCTAAATCAAGATGTGCTTTTTCTATTGCTTCTGCAGAATTTTTGTTCTCTGGGCTTAAGGCCAAGTCCAGATATTTATCAAAAATCGCTGTGCCTGGTGTTTTCTGTTGCTGTTTACTAGACCTTTACTTACTCTTAGTAAGCGTTATTTGTCTGAATAAGCTAGGAAGTGAATACAGGAATTTTAGTGAATTTTAGGTTGCTTGGATATGGCCCTGAGTTATTGTTATTGTATGTGGTAATTATGTCAAAGATTATGAACTGCCTGGGTAGAGATGATTTCTATAAGCTATTTTTTCCGAACTTTAATCATCCGTGTAGAGTTGAGCAAAACATGGTAGCTACTTGCGAAGATGGCAGAAAAACTGTGTCCTGAATACCAAAAGTTGCTGATACCAAGTGTCGGGCAAAAAAAAATGCAGGTAGGGGGATGTGACTTTGTTTTGCATGGAGAAAAACTGCAAGACTAAATCTGGGAAGCTTACAAATGCCAATGCTATTAAAAGAACAGTCTCACTGGGTCAGGGGAAAGAATTTTTTTCCCTTTTTTCCCCCCAAATCCAGTCCTTTCTCCACTTGGGCTCAGATTAGGCATACCCAAAGTCATTAAACCAAATGGATGGTCTAATGCAGTTGCCGAGACAATATTCTGCTTTTTTCTGTGTTTAACTAGCATTCATCTCAGCATCTAAGATATCCAAACTACTTGTGTTAAAAAAGCAACCTACAGAAAAGGTGCCACCTCTGCCTCCAAGCTTCTATTTTGGCCCTAATCTAGAGAAGTACTTTAAATGCATGATTGGGCATCTTCTATTCATACAGATAATTACATCTTATGCTTAAAATGCTTCATTAGTTTGATTTAGATTTTATTTAGAGAATAAACTTTGACCTATTGTAGTGAAATTCTCTGGATTGGCAAAAATTACAAATTTTAAAGCAGGATTTTTGGGATGATCTATCTAGTATTTTTCTCCTGAATAAGCTTTGTAAACAGTCCAGGAAATACTTGTGTTTGAATATACTTAGCTCAGTAAGAACAATGCAGTCTTATGTTTTTACACCAGTTGGCTATATATTAAAATACCAATGTGGAGAGGGGGTGGGAGGTAACTTACACTAGCGTTTTTTTTTAATTCATTTTACATAGTCTGAGTTCTGTTTGAATAATATACACAGCTGCATGAAAATATTAAACCAGCAATCCTCAAACATTTATGCTGAAAGCTTTTCCATGAGAATCTTCAATGTGTTTGTCTCCTCTCTAAACACTACAGTACCTTATGGCTGCATGTTGCATTTGCAGACTCCAGACAAAAGCTCTGTGCTCTATTAGTATGAGTAACTTTCTAGAACTAACACAAATTTAGTTTGCAATAAAGGCAAAAGCATTCAAAACAATTCTCAAAACTAGAAGACTGTCTAAATATGCACCACTTCATTTGCCTGAAACTGAATGTTACTTAAATAACAGCATGGATATATGTAGGAAGTCAACTGGTATTACTTGATCTATAATTTAATTTACTCAGTGACTGAATTAAGATGTTACGCAATGGCAGTCTAAGTCTTTCCTGTTTTGCAAATTGCAAAGTAAACTCAAGTTTACCTTGAGATGTAAAGAAAAATGAAAAGTTTTAATCAAAAGCTTCAAAAAATCTTTTTAGCATGAAATCAATATTTCAGTGCTGCTGACTCTTCCTTTTCGGACCAAGCAATAGCAAAGAAAAACAGCTGTAACTGTAGTTTCATGGACCCAAATGAAAAGCGGGGAGTAGAAATTCTGAGGTGCAAGGGTAGCTTTGCTTCAAATGGTTTCTGCTTTCGGTTTAGAAGAAATACTCTGTACACATTGGAATGGACTGATTCCAGTAGAAAGTCTGAAAAGAGCTTGGAGCCTTGGACTCGTCCAAAACCTCAATTGAAAAGAGTTAAATACAAAGCAAGAATTACAGAATTTATGCTTGCCCTAGTAAAAAACTAAAAAATACCAGCCAGAAGCTGCTTAGAAACATGCTTAGCCACGTTCGATGAACACGGGGCTTAGAAAGCGGCCTTTGCTCTTCTGCTGTCTAGCTGATGGGAAGGACTTAAGATTTGCAGTTCTGATGGTGTATTGCTATATAGAAAACTATCTTCTAATTCCAGTACTTTGTCTTGAATGCATAGAGAAATTTATAATGTGTAAGCTAAATTAACTGAAGAAAGCACAGGTTGTACCTGCGTCCTGGAAGGAAGGAAGTAAGGTTGAGCTTTTATTTTCCAGGTAGCTTCTATTAGGCAATTCCAGGTCATAGACCTCTATTGGATTATAGGCTCTGTGCAAGTAATTTAACTGCTGTGCCTTCTGTGTGTGTTCCATAAAACTGGACAGTATTTGTCCTCAATTCTAGGAGTTCCTGTAAGAAACTATCTTTGATCTTATTGTAGGTAATGTGATCCACATCTATAATTCCTGCAGAAGTGTTTCTTTATTTGAATCCCATTTACTTACTATATCACCGTTTGAGCTGCATATTATTTTTGATGTCTTGGACTTGGCAACAGTTCACAAGTTGTCTTGCTGGGGTAAAAAGGCACCTGGCACTGTATCATATAGCACTCTGTTTTGGTTGTGACATCATGTTCCTTTTGGACATAACTTGAAATTATGATATGAAAGAGAAAGAATGATGCAATAAAAACAAACCACTTTCTTGAAGGAATGATAAATGAAAATATGAATATTCATAGGAGACTAAGGCAGAAGCCACAGTAATTTCTTCCAGAAGCTTTCATTGGAAGGAGATAAACCTGGAGACCTTCGATACCTGAAACTGTATATGTGCAATAGCTATAAGTGAGAGGAACTAGATGCCAGGATTTAAATTTTGGATATAAATAGCATACTGCTGTTAGAAATTAATGTTGGGAGATCAGAATGAGTCCTTGTCACAATAAGTGTTGTGCCAAAGTTAGGTTACAGGAAAATGAATGCTTTTGCTTTATAATGAATTACACCAGAATAGTATGAGTTATGCTCAGTGCCTACACTGTCAAACTCAAAATGTGTTTTGGATTTGGACAGTCTGGTACAATATTGACAATTCAAATCCTGCAGCTTTGTTTACATGTGTGAAAATAAGAAAGTGAAAGGAGGATATACTGTTTAAAATAGTGTAATAGTTACATTTGCACTAGGTATGAATGAAGATCAGAATTTGTTTTTTCACTCTCGTAATGGGTAATCTTAAAAAATGGTTCTGAATTGGGGGGAGGGGCAGTGAAATACTTGTTGAAACAACATTAAGTATAAACTCCATTCAGTATTATGTACAAGTAGTGTATCACAGTCTGTTCAGGTAATCTCCGGGCTCTGAAATTTCTTACGCTTTTAAGTTTGAAGCCTGGAACTGTGCTCTTGCTTCACTGCTTTGTGCCACCTGTAAAAATCACATTTTTCAGGAGAGTGAGGTGAATGCCAGTGGGTAACTTTTTTTAGTATATTCAATGAAGTACTAACCATTCTGTAAAAGGAATACTACTTTATATTGCAAGATGAGTGGCAAAACTTAAAGTACTAACCTCAAACATACTGTTTTTATAGACTTGCTGATACCTGATTTTACTCTAGTAGGGAAAAAAACCCAGTTGCTTCGTCTAGTCTACATTTCTGTGAACTGTCAGGTTATACTGATCAGTGTGTTTTCTTTTCTTGCTTATTCAGGATATATGACTCGAATCCTGAACAGCCAAATATATTCCAGGTGGAGCAGCTGGAACGTCTCAAGAAAGAATTACCAGAGTTGAAAAGCTGTGTGTGTCCTACAGTTAGCCACTTTAAATCCATATCTCCTTGTAAATGTCATCATAGTTGCCTGGAAGAGAAAGCTGTAGATAACTTGAAGAGTGTTCAAATACAAAAGGACTGATTCTAGGCAGAATGCTGGTTTGTATCTATTTAACTTTCACTATTGGAACAGTGCTGTCTATGCCTTCAGGTTTGCTTGGTTTATTTTTAAGTCCCCAAATAGCAATAACTGTGTTCCTCCTTCCTGATGGTACTTGTTAAAATTTCAAACAATGTTAAAATATTCAGCCAGCTATAGTTATTGTTCCAGTTTACAGGAAAAAATTAAAACTGTATATGTAATCAAGTCTCAAATCTTGAAAAAGAAAATTAAGGATTACCACTAAGTGTGGTTTTAAAAATAAAAATATTAAGGAGTCTGAGGAGTGGAAGCTCAGAAACTAAATTGTAGCGAAATTACAATGATCTGATACTGAATATGCTGAAAAAAGTGTTTTGACTTTGATTTTACTTCAGTGCTACAGCTTGTCAGCCTGTATCTGATAATGGGAAATTAAGAAGGTGATTGTAAGATACATATAATTAGATCTGGCCTGAATAAATTGATACCTCATATATATGTATTTGCACTGAAAGATCCACCTGTACAAAGCTTTGTGCCATTTAAAAATATCTATATATTTTTAAGTAAACTGCAATGTATATTAACTCATTTTTTCCCACTTCATTGGACACTTAGGCTGCTGCCATTATTTTCTGATTTGCCAATTCATTGGTAAAGTTTCTATGTATAACAGTCAAGGGTGAACCACAAGTATGATTTTTTTTTTCATTAATGTCGCACAGGCCTGCTAAACTTTGGAAATGTCGCAAATAATTTTAACAGAATTACAGAAACTTCTTCAGTGGTTGAGAATCTTTTTTGCACAATAACTTTAATAAATAGAATAAGTAACATGCACAAACTCTACAAAATGCATGCTTTAGTTAAGCATGAAATTTAGGTGTTTGCTGAGGTCCTTGCATCTTTATGGTGCTAGTTATGTGTGAAGTGTGCAAGGACTAACTCAACTACTTAATCTTCTTTGCCTAAAACCACAAGCCTATTATTCACAAGAATTTGAAGAAAAGGCTATACCATACATGGTTTGTCTTACTTACATAATACAAGCTACTAGCTCTTGTATTTTGCAAGATTATTTTTTTTTCCTCAGAGCAAGAATCACAAATGTACTGAATTCAGATACTCTGCATTCTGTTGGCTGGTATCTATCTTCTGTAACTTATTACAAAGTCAGTCATAGTTTAGAGTTCTTAATAGATAGGTATGCATGTCCTTTTTCCTCCTGAAGTTGCAGGTCCTGCCAACACAACAGCTGTAACTTTCTACTGAAGTGTTAATGTATAATAAGAATGGAAAATATTTATTTTTTTTCTCTTGTAAATTGACAATGAAAACAATAGTGTGTACTATATTCTTTATATACAGTCATTGCTACATAGAACTGATTGTACAAAGAGCAAAGCCATTGCAAATAAGTGCTTGAGCCTGCACCGCTGAGCAGTTTGAAACAAACAGTTTGTTTCGACTTGCCTTGTGCATTTTAGTATTTAGAGTTTGTTTGTCCTGCACAAACAGCACAGTAATGATTAGGTATCTGGAAGATGTCTTTTATTTAAAAGAAAAAAAAATTAAACCAAAATTTGGAAGTGTGTGAGCTGTGTTTTTTGGGAAGTAGGGGGGCACTGAACCTGATTCTTGACATGAGGAACCTGTGGCTGTTATCTGATACAGCAAGTCCAGATTCCTCACCTATGTGATTAATTCTTAATTTTTTTCTTTATTTGCATATCCCTGTGGGGTTCTTTTGACAGGTCTTGAGGGCTTTGCCAGCTGATGGGCAACCCCTACCAGGGTTATACATGTCACTGCTCATGAATGCTGGGCAGTGCATCCACAGACATGTTGAACATGACAGCTGTTTTGTGTGAAGGTGGTTTAAAAGTTGTGCTGAGGCACCCTCTCGGACTAACCACAACATGATCCTGAGAAGGGCTTGGCACCCTTAAAAATTTGTTTCACAACTTTCAGATGCTCAGAGAATAGCATTTGCCTATTCTGTTTGTGGGGTGTGGAAATAAATACATCCACTGTAGTGATTTTACAAGATAGTTTTGAGCAGCATTACAATTTTAATGTATTCTTTTTGACTCCCTTATTTGCAAGTGAGTTGTGTCAGCAACTTGCTCCAAACCTGAGTAGGCTTTAACAAGCTCTTCTGCTGTGTCACTTAGAGCTGAGCTTGCAGCTTGGCCACACGCAACAGCTGTTCTGCCACAGCTGACGGGGCAATGCAGCAGGGATATAGGGAACCGAAGAGCAGGGCTGTGGGAACTGGCAGGGGGAGTTCAACTAATACCCTACCAAAAACCTCCTCTTGTAAGGAAATGCTGTGGTGACAAGTGAAGATGGGAGCATCCACCTGTATTCCTCTGTGGGTGTCCAGCAGCTGCTAGTAAGCTTTATGCTGAAATGGCAAGGGGTGAGAGGGGAAAAAATGATTCCTGAAGGAGAGACTCACCTTGATGAATATACAGCTCTTTGAAGGAAACTCCAGTCTTGCCAAAGAGAATTTTAGGTGAATTTCTTGTGAAATTGTTCCATCCGTACGCCCTCACGTGAGCACACAGCTACTCTGCACTGATGCTCAGCTGGGGTGAAGGCTCCTTGGCAATGCAGGATTTCTGCTGAGACCTGCAGCAGGTCACTAAGCTAAGTGTGTTGCCTGGTGAAAGGCAGCTGTCAGTTTTCCACTCGGCCAGTGTGTAAATCAGCACTGTGTAGGTTGTTTAGTGTCTCTAGTTTCTCCAAAACCTCCTCAGCTGTACCCCAGCTGTTAACTGGCTCATTTCTCACAGGCATCAAAGCAAAAATAGTGAAAGATAGTGACTGTGTTGAGGAGACCTCTGTTTGATGGGTTTGGGCAACTCTTTTCAGACAGACATGCTGAGAGCCTGCAATTTAAATAGCCTAAATTGGTGGCTGCTTCCACAACGTGTTGGCCTTGGCCACTTACATTGCAGGTGGGCTCCTGTTCCTCATCAGAGTTGCACAGCCCATTGCTGGGTTCGTGCTGTATTGTGCTCAGTTGGTGTTTGCTGTTCCAGGAGTGGCCAAGAGTCCATCTACAGAGAAAATAAAAGCAGGAAACTATCCCCAGCTGATTGAGGCAAGGGAACCAAGACTCTGAGTATCTTTAAATCTGAATTTTCTACTGAAATCTATTATCTCTGGCTGGTTTGGATCCTGCCACCTCCCTGGCTTTTGAAGACTTGCTGGAGACCAGCGTGGTCTGGAGAACAGATGGCTTTGTTCCAGCCAAAGGACCACTACAGTTTTTTAATGAATCCAAGGATGTGCAGGCTGTTTCACTTTTCTTGCTGTTGGAGTGTTTGCTTTTGCGCCCACCCACAGACTGATCTCTACGTGACTCGCGAGACCTGCGTTACTTCACGCTCTGGCTCTGTCCCCTGTAAATAAGCGGGAAGGAGGATGAGAACGTTTCCCCATACAACAGAGTAGTCTGGAGAATGAAAAGTTCCTGCATGTCCTGCAGCAGAGGAGGTCCCCGGCGGGGGGTGCTTCTGGCTCCCAGCTGCCCTCCTGGCGCTTCCCCTTGGGCCGTGGGTGCTGATGGGAGGGGTGCGGGGACGTCTACAGATTTTCCTCCCAAATGGTGCGGATGCAGACACCGCTTCTGCGCCACAGCAGTCCTCTCCCCGTCGGCCCTGTCAGGAGCGGTGGCATGGCCTGCTGCTGAAACAGCAGGAACGAGGGCTGAGCTGTACTAATGCATCTCGCCGCCTGCACTGACGGTCCCTCAGGGCGTCACCTCCCGTCAAGGTGATAAACGCATTTAGTGGTGAAGCGGTCCCGGGGGGGCAGGTGAAGATTTGCCTCCCGAGTGTACAAATACACTCCGGACAAGGTGCTTTTCGGTCCCTTTCTCTGGTACCGACGCAGACAGCAGCCGTGGCTGACGCCTTGCCCCGCCGGCCCGCTCCCAGGGCGGGCTCACGGCGGAAGAGCCGCCCCCGAGGAGGGGCCGGTGTCGCCAGGCGCCCGGCCCGCGCTGAGGGCGGCGGGGCGGGCTAAGATGGCGTCGGAGGGCTGGCGGTACTTCTGCACGGCGGGCCGCGGGCTGGAGCCCTTCAAGGCGCGGGAGGTGCGGGCGCGGCTCGGCGCCACGGAGGGGAGGGGGGAGCCACTGCCCGCCTGGGGCGGTCCGATCCGGATCGGGGGTCTGATCTTGGTCTGGGTGGGAAGGGACCCCTAAGGCCCGTCTGGTGCCGCCCCTGCCGTGGGCAGGGACATCTGCCCCTCGGTCAGGCCGTGTCCCCTCGCCACCCGCGGTGAGCTGGGGTCTGCGCCGCCCTCCTCCCTGCGAAGGGGCGAGCGGGTGTGAGGGGCTGCGGGGCTGCTGACAGCGCTCGCCCAAAACACCCTCCCGGGTGGGTCTGGTTCCTGTTTTTCCCCTAAGGTGGACTGCGTCTCAGGAAAGGTCTTCTTCAGCACAGAGGCGGAGCCGGGCGAGCTGAGGAAACTCAAGTCTGGAGAGCGACTGTTTCTGCTGCTGAAGAAACACCCCCCGCTTGCAGCTTCTAGAGATAAAGGTATGGCGCTGACTGCTTCCCTCGGGTCATCCCCTCGGGGTGCTCACAGGGTGGGTGTTCAGAAACGTGAAGCCCCAGTTCAAGTCCTGTTTATAAAATGAATATTTGATTTATTTCATTTATTTACTAACAGCTGTAGTTCTAATTGACAGTAATTAATTCTGAAGTATCTTCGGCCCAGATACGTTTTTGATGCTTTTTTAGTGCTGAAAATGGCTTTTAAGATGTTTTGGACCCCTTGTATGTATTTTAATGATGAGTCATATTCCTTTAGGTAAAGTGGATCCAGATCTATATCCTGTGTAATTTAACTGTTCAGTACATAGATTTTTTTGTAAATCTCAGCTGCTCAGGTCACATTCTCTGTTGGATGGAATAAGAATTTCAAGTAAGATGGATGGATATCTGCATGCTGGTGGGATTTTATTTGGGAGATCACAGATGGCCTTCAGCTTTGAGGGTCACATTTAACCATGATTCTAAATGAGAACTAGAAATACCTTCCCCCCCCGCCACTTGACTAGCTTCAAGGTTTTTAAGTGAACTGGCCTGTGTATTCCTTGTGCTTCTCTTGTCATAGCTAGCTCAAGACGACTACCCATAGGTGTAGTTTAGCTGTGTGTTGGAGACTTTGCAGGATTGAAGGCAGGTTGATGAATAGCAAAGAGAGATTTCCCTTGTAAAAGAATAAACTTGTGGCTTTTATTCCGAGCTGAATCAAAGTGATTCATGTTCACATCTGTCTTTCAGTCCTGGAAAGTGTCCCACATACATGTCTAATCCTGGACCAAGTGCTTTCTGAGGAGGATGGCATGTTAGGCTGGTCCTCCATCCCTGGGAATGACTCTCAGAGGTGGTCTGGTTTTCTAGAGCTGAATTCTTCTGTAGACTTCAACCCCCGCACAATTTAATCTTGGTTCTGCAGAGCTTGTAATCAGACAGATGCCTGGGTCTCTGCTGGTGGAGCAGATGGGTGTTGAGAGCTCAGCTGTGCCTGTGATGTGTGCTTCTGGTGCTGTGGTTCCTGGATTCACACATTTAAGGAAATCTGAACACAGTCGCTGTTAACAGCTGTTCTCGCTCTGTAGGAAAATCAAATATTGGGACTGAACTACTTAACCTGAAGCTGCTTTTTCTTTCAGGGAAAATGCTACATGAGATTAAAAGCCTTGTCATTGAGGAGCCAAAGTATTGGCTGGATGTTATCTCTGTTTGGAGAAACTTTCATGGGTGCGAGGGGAAAAAAGATGGTGTCTCTCAAGAAAACCGATTGCCTCTAAAGAGAAAATCAGAAGAGACAAATATTGCAACTAAAAGACAGAAAACGGAACAAGTGCGAGAGACTGTGTCTGAGGAATGTCAAGTGGAAGCTGGAGAGAGGTGTGTGGTAGCAGAGATAAAGAGCAGTCAGGACTGCCAGACTGAAAGCAAGACTTCCTTAGAAGACCCTTCCAAAAGCAGTGGAGAGGAACCTGTTGCAAATGAGCAGCTTAGCTTCAGTTTCAGAGTTTCTTGTCGTTGTAGTGGAGCGATTGCCAAAGTACTTCCTTCACAGGTATGCTGAAGTATCTGTGTTTTAAAAGAATTTAGCAAAGGTGAAGGGAGATGTGTAGTTTATTTGTCGTTTCAGTTGTGTGTTGTATGTTTTAGAATAACAAACTTTTTCTGTATTTTCTCAAAAAAGTCCTTAACCTGCATTTACCTTAAACAAGTGGAAATACAAAGGCTGTTGTTAATTTCTGGACACTGTTACCCTGAATATTTTTCAAATCTATGCCTTTTATTGTGGATAAGTAAAGTAAGAGGTTGAGGTAGCTGGGCTTGTGGAGTCTGAGGAGCGATGTGGTAGTAGTTTACAGCTACTTAAAGGGCCATTGCAATGACAGTGAAGCCAGACTCCCTTCAATTGTGGCAAACAGTGTAAAAGAAGGTGCAAAACCAGAACTTGCAGCTTCGGCGGGCTCTGGTTGGGCATTGGGGAGAACTTGTTTCCTAGGACCAGCCCTGGGAGGTATCCTGGAGGATGCATCTTGGTCCTTGGGGGAGAGTAGTGGCGTAGAGACCTCCAGGGGCCCTTTCCATCCAGCCCGCTTCCCATCTATAATACCTTTCTACTGTGAGGAAAATAAAAAAAATAAAAAAGAAACCCAGTGTAGCTGCAATTTATGTAAATTTCTCTTATTTGAAGATAACAGTAATTTAACTAGATTTTTTTTTTTCCTGGGAAGATGGGACGCATGAGCCTGTGAACATGAATCCTTGCTTAAATTTGTGCTGTGTGTTTGAACTGTCATACTCTGAAGGTAGTCAGAGCTTTCTAGATGCCGTAAAAGCATTAAAATTTTGAGTTGTAGTTGTGCATTCACAGGTTTTCTCTTAGGTAATCTAGTTTACAGCCATCGGAAATATTTTGTGCGTGTGATTTACAATTCTAAAATGATGACAACTTTTGTTGTATCTCGGGCAGGACTTGAACTTCAGCCTCCTGCACACCAGTTGAGTGATAGTCATTTTGTCCTGTGGTGTGTTTGCTCTGCCCCTCACTCACTCGCTGTGCCCTGTTGTACCTCTGCTGGTCTTTGTATGAATTGTGCTGCTAGGGATAAAGAGAGACTCTTTCTTTTCTCAGGTATTTATAAGGATTGTGCAGTCCAGGCTGTGATCTGTAGTTTTCTTAATTGTGTTATTTTTACTGCCTGTGACTGTTCTTCCCCCTTGCAGGAGATTGGAAGAGCCGTTGGCATAGCGCTCATGAAGCAGTGTGGGTGGCGGGCTGATCTGCGGCAGCCCGATCTGGAGGTAGTGGTGCTTGTCTGCCAAATGGTCTGTTGCTGCTTCCAGAATTGTCCCTGATATCTTTTGTTTTGTTCTCTGCTCCTTTTGCATGCGGGACTGTGGCCTCTCCCTGTTTGTCTTTCTGCTGCTAAATTTAACTAGAAGTCATCTGGTAGTGCTGAGCAAAACTTTTTGGTAGTCACTGTGTGCATGCATTCCAAAGCACTTAAATAAATACCAGAATGGCCAGCATGGGCCTGTAAGTGAGGAGAAGGATCCATACAGGTGATGTCTCAGGATCCAGCATGTTTACAAACTGCTGGACACTGACTGTGTTGAAAATGGAGGTCACTCGAGCCATGGGCAGCTAGTTTAGCCTCTGTAGGGGAAGAGAGCGAGCAGCAAGGTTGTGTTCTCGAGGAACTTGAGAATGCTGTTTATGGAAGAGCCTTCTCCTAGACCTTGCCCTGACAAGCAGCTTGCTTAAGGCACCCTCCATGGTGCAAGCTGTCTGGAGACCTCGGAAAGGGCTCACTGCTCTTGACAAGCTGTTTCTCCATCCCTGTGCTTGGCATATGGAAGCTGCTCTCAGCACTGATGCTGGGAGGTCTGAGGCCTTCTGTAAAAACTCTGAGTTCATCTACCGGCTCTGGTTTTCCCAGGCTGCACATCAAATACAGCTTTGTTGAGTCTCAAGTGGGGCGCTTGTCCAGATTTTTGCTCTGAAACAATTCAAGTGCTGAGGACTGGGATATTTCAAAAGCATCATATTTCTCTTTGGGCTTCCTGGGGAGGGATTGTAGTCATGCAAGACCTGTTGGGGAGCTCAGTCTTCTTTTGGGATGTTTGCTATGGGACAGGAGGACAATTGTTTTGAGCTGCCTGTACTTCTGGAAGGATTACCCACATTTGCCTTCCATCTGAAATGCGCCTTCATAGAATCATTGGCACTTGTGTTTTGTTTTTTTTTTTTAAAAAAGTGTGCGTGTGGATAGCTGAGTGCTAGTATACAGTGAATGATCTCCTCCTAAACCTAAATGGTTTTATAATTAAAAACATGTGTTCAGTGTTACAAAAATAGGTTCCCTTAAAGATTCAAGAGCTTGCTGATGGATTCCTGGCTGACACAATTACCCTCCCAGCTTGTTTAAATATTAAATCCTCTTTAAAGTAGCATTCAGATTATCTAGTGTGATTTCTTCCAATTAATCATAATTGTGTAAAGTGTGCATTTTTGTTCTTAAAAACTAGGATCAGAAGTTCGTAGAGATGTCTTCTGTGTCTGTTTAAAGTTATTGTCGTGTCAGGTTGAGAGTCTCTAATTTCTTTCCTCTTTCAGATCTTTGTACATCTTAATGACATTCACTCTGTGGTGGGAATTCCTCTTTTCAGGTAGGCATTCTCCTCACCAGATTTGTCTTGGCAGTATCGGAACAGGCATAATTTCTAAATAGTCTTGCTGTCCACTGTGAGTGTTTATCTTCTGGTTTAATATTCACTAGACTGTCTCATTAGTCTTGTGGTTTGTGGCTTATCTGAGCACGTAAGCCAGACTTTGCAGTGGGTTATGGATAAAAGCAGACTGTGGTTTCTATCTGTCTGCAGATCTGTTCACTTCATTTGTTCTTTCGTATTACATGGGCTTTTCTGGGTGGTTGTACCCTTATCTTATGTTGATTTTTTGCTGTCTGCAGGCTTCCGTTGGCAAACAGAGAGTACATCAAAACAGCAGGACTGCGGTCAACAATTGCATGGGCCATGGCATCTCTGGCTGAAATCAGTGTAAGTGAGTGTTCATGGCAAAGATTTAGAGTCCTGAATGGAGAGTTGCTGCTCATCAGAGCTGGAGCTGGAAGCTTTGAAGAAGTGTGGTGATTTTAATGCCCCATGCTCTAATGCATGTGGACAGAGTTTGTCTTATCTGTGGTCAGAGTGCACTGTCACCTGCTGTTCAACCAGATATCTGCTGTCATCCCAGGTCCTTCTCAGCAGAGGTGTAATTCCTTGTATGGATATATGTCTAAATGGCAAGATTTTTTCACTGTCCAGGCGTCAAACCTTGTTTGGCGTTGTTCTCCAAGGGAAAACAGAAGCAAGTGTGATGTTTTCCACAGATTAATTTGGTACCAATATCTGTCTGCAGTCCACTCATGTTTTTTCTTCCCCTAGATGTCACCGCAAGGCTAGATGCATTGATGCATTATCTTTAGTGAAACTATTAATGCTTTTTACTATATTCTCTTAGAAACACCTATGGCCTGGTAAACCAGTGATCATTGTTACCTATGCTGGATTCAGTGGGAGTATGTAGGTGATCTGTACATCCCTGAGTAAGCTTTGTCCTGGGAGAGGAGTCTGTCTTGCTTGCGATGCAATAACCCCTTTATGTTTGTAGGCAGGTGCCTTTGTGCTGGATCCTATGTGTGGGCTAGCAACGATACTGCTGGAAGCTGCCAAAGAGTGGCCCGTGAGTATCACAGTCACAATAGGTGGGACCTTTGCAAGACGGCTTGTAGTTGCGTCAAGAAAAATCTGTCCCACGGTTATACCAAAGTCCATTACTGGAAAGCTAGAACGAAACCGATCTTTCTAGACAATTGTTAAAAGTGTTTTAGTACAAATGTTCCTCCACAGGAGTGTGAAGCAAAGGCCTACATACTTGTGCAGGTGGGTGCTGGCAGCCCTGTATTTATACTGCAGGATTTGCATGAGGCAACCATGGACTTTTAAAACTGCCTGGCCTTATCCTGGGATTGGAGGTGTCAGTGGGACAGTACAGTCAGTTGTCAGTATTAGAGGCAGCATGGCTGTTTGTAGCTAGCTAGGGTCTTGCTGTTAGGACATAGCCTCAGTATTTTTGTAAGTTACAAGTGTTTTGAGCAGACCAGAATGGGAAAGGAGCGAAGATAGCACATACTTTCCCCATTCCTCTGTCGTCTGGGTCTGTGTATTGCTCTGTGTAATGATACGAAATCTCCCAGCAAGGGGTTTGTCTTGGAAGGACAAGGGAGTTCTGAGAAGGGTTTATAAAATAGAGACACCTGTTTGTCAACTAGATGACTTTTCTCTTTTTCTCTGAACAGGAAGCCTGTTACTGGGGTGCTGATATAAGTGATTCACAGTTAGAGGGTGCAGATGTGAATATTAGGACTGCAGGCTTGATGGATAAGATTGAGTTACTTAAAGCTTCTGTGAAAGGTATGTCTGTAGGCTTTCCAAGTAAGACATGTCTGAAGTTTTTTTGCGGTTCTGGGATTATACAGGTAATGTAGGTTCTCTTGAGGTGACGTGTAGTAGAGCTAAAGCTGAGTAGCGACGCTATAGTGCTAGTGAATGGATAATTATTTGTTCTCCCCTCCCTGCCCCTGAACTTTGGCAAGAACAAACTCAGCAGAAGACACTGAAAATAATAATTGTCAGACGTGCAGTAGTTGTCTGTCTTAATGGTAAATGTGTGAATACCACAAAGAATACATACCATATGAGAATTTTTTGTGTCTTAACAGGAACGCAGCAAGGACAGATAAAATGTTGCTTGTAACTTAAATGTACCAAATGAGTAATAGTGGGATCTCATTAAGCTCAGTGTTGAATTGTTAATGTTTTGCAGTAGGAATACTTTAAATAACAATGCCTTTTTCCTGGAAGAGGGAATCTGTTTGCTCTCAGTTTATGAGCTAGCCTGGGGAGAAGGTGATAATTTTATGACCTTATTGTGGACCTCAAGGCCTGAGTCTAAATTAGTCCGTTATGAAATTAATGACAGACAAAAGCTGGCTCTTTTTTCCTGTGCATGGTTGATAAAGTATGCATATTTTTTTACCTTACCATTCTGGTAAGAAATATTATTTCTTTTTTATAAGAGTATATATAGCTTTATTTCTTACTTAAAAGCTGTGATTGGGCTTGGCTTCTAAGCACATGGAAGGTGCTTTGATGTCAGGCTTTTCTAATACTGAACAAGTAATTGGTGTCTTTGTCACTGGTCAAAGCAGTTATTTCTGCATGTTTTGAGAAGGACTGTAGGTAACTTGTCCTTCCATTTGTAGGTAAAACTGTTGTGCTGCAAGTGTTGCTCCAAGCATGGTCCAAGAACCATCTCCAGCTAGTTCTGGAAAAGCTGGCATAGAATCACAGCGGGGTTTAGGTGGGAAGGGACTGCTGGAGGTCCTTAGTCCTGTCATCTGCTCGGAGCAGGGCTAACCCCAGAGCTGGGTCAGGTGCTCAGGGCCTTGTCCAGTCGAGTTTTGAGCATCCTGAGGGATGGAGAACCCATAGTCTCGTCCTTTCACATGCTGGCTATGCTCTGTCCAGGACAGCCTGGTATGTGGCCAGCCTTCGTCACCACAAGGGTGCAGTGCTGCCTCATGGTCAAGAAAACTGGCTATTCCCAGGATGCAGAAACTCTGGGGAGACAGTTCAAAGACACTAGCACCGACAGAATCCAAGTGATTCTGGCTGTAACCAGATTCTTGGGGGGAGAGAAGGGAGATGGAGAGGAATTTAGCACGTGGTTCCTTGCCATTCATATGTGTGCATCTGAACATCTGCACTAAGTGCTTGCAAGCTTAGCTCTTCTTTTGCTTTTTGCTTGTAAAGATGCGTTGTGTGTTGAGAAGCAGCAGTTAGTTTGGAACCATGCAGTCCCCTGTTCAGAGACTCATGCTATTGGGGCAAGCATATCACCAGTAACAGGGAATCTGCGAGCTAAACCATGCTCTCATGCATTTGTCTCTTCCCAGTCTGCATTGGGCTGGTGGCTTTGTAGTGCTGTTTCTGAGCATAAGTACAGAAGGAACTACGAATCTGTGTGCATAATGCACAAAAGAGATGGCAGACGGTTTTGTAAGGTGCATGAGGGCATAGCTGCTGTTTATTTTTCACAGTCAGATGTAAAGACCTGCCTATATTCTGCAGCATTGCCGTTGCCTTCGGAAAGCTTTGATGCTGTGATTTCGGATATTCCATTTGGGAAGAAGTTCAAGATCACAAAAGACATACAGCTCCTTCCGGATATTCTCCAGGAAGCAGAAAGGTACGTGTGGCCTTTGACATGCCTGGGGTTTGGTGTAAATGTCATGATGGTTTGCGATCCTAAGCGTTCAGTCAGCTTCAGGTTTGCTTTATTCCAAACAGTCTCCAGCTCTCTAGTCTGATCCTGTGCAGGCTGTGAAAGTCTGATGCCTTTACTTGTGCCTTAAAGGCTGTTGTGGCTTGTTGTGCAAGGTGTGGAAGTGCTGATGGTAGCACTAGGTGACAAGGAATGAGCTTGTTGTGTGAGCCACACTCACAAATATTCTTTACAAGGCATGATAGTGAAACATGTGTGAGCCACACTCACAAATATTCTTTACAAGGCATGATAGTGAAACATGTGTGAGCCACACTCACAAATATTCTTTACAAGGCATGATAGTGAAACATGTGTGAGCCACACTCACAAATATTCTTTACAAGGCATGATAGTGAAACATGTGTGAGCCACACTCACAAATATTCTTTACAAGGCATGATAGTGAAACATGTGTGAGCCACACTCACAAATGTTCTTTCCAAGGCAGAAAGGAGAAAGAGGAGAGGATGACCTAGACAAACTTAAAGCGTGGCCAAGCAAATGAAGCAGTAATCCTTTCTCAGTTGAGGTCTGCTTGTATAAAATCATAAGCTTTCCTTTTGGGTTCACAACTCAGCTTTTACCAGCCTGGCTTGGCAGGAAGGATCTCAGACCAGAAAATGGTGGTATGCATTTTCCTTTCTCTTAGCATGTACTGGAATATCAAGCTAGCCACTTGGTCTGCTTTTAGATGCCTCCTTTCATCTCTCACCCTGACGTTTTTTGGCAAACTTGACCCAAGATAATAGCGGACTGCTTCTAACAGGCAGTTCAAACCATCTGCCCCTTTATTTTCTTTGCTGAAAAGAAGCCCTTTCTGCAGGATTGGTCTTCAGCGGGTGTTCATCTCACTTGCCTAATGCAGGAATGTGGTGGAAAGATGGTGAAGAAGGTGAGGTAGCTCCGCAGAATGGCAGGGTAATCTTATGTCAGCTTGTGCTGAGCATCTCTCCCTTTGGCCATGCTTGTCTTTTGGTCTTATTTGCTCTGTTGGGCCATCCTAAGCAAAATCCTCCCCTCCACCTTCCCAGGGAAGTAAGGGACCATTACCACGAGAGCTTCACCAGTAAGACTGTTCAATCCACTTACTGTGAGCAGAGCTAGGATAGTCCTTTTTTTCTCTTCTTTCAAAGCCAAGTGTAATGTTTGCTTATGTATGAAGAAAAATGGATTACAAACAATGGTTAATTTTCCTCCATTTCCTGAGTTTGAAAGCCATTAAGGATCAGTGGAACGTGGAAAGGACAGACTTAAAGTTTCCAAAGGGAAAGGCTAGCTTCAGAATTGCCTTACTAACCTGAAAAGCTCTTGCTGCCCTGGGAAGCTGTTCCTTTGCAGACTGGTGGGAGGCTCATGTGACCCAAAAACAGGGTTTGAAGGTGATACTGCCCCCAATCTTTGGAAGAATACCAAGAGTGAAAAAACTGGGTCCATCTTTCCTGCTAACCCAATGGAAAGAAGTCCTGAGGTTGGAAGTGTTTGGGAGTCAGAATAGGGCCTAGTTCTTCCATGTAGGAATAGTTATGAAGATAGGGAATTTAAATTCCATTTGGAGATGTAGCTTACTGAGTTGAGCCATGACAGTTAATGTGCTTAGGTGTTTTATCAAATGCAACTGGCATCTGAAGTGTCAGCAGTGTTGAGTTCTGCATGGATGAAAGAATGCCAGGCAGGGTAAACACCTCACCTTTATTTTTCCTGCAATTGCCAGAGTACTTCGTGTTGGAGGCACTATTGTATTGCTGCTGAGCCAAGAACTCCATAAGCGCATGGATGGCATTACCAAGTGTGCTGAAAATTACTCTCCTAATGCTGTTTCTGATGGCGCAAGTGAAACCACCACTGCAAAAGCCCTGAATGTTGATGGGAATTCTTCCTCCTCGGTGAATGGTGTTGAAGAATCCCTTCTCAGCAGCCGACAGATGCCTTTTGGGTCTCTGGTGCCAGATGGTGTCTATGCAGTTAGTCTTGGAAAGACGGATGCTTTCATACACAAGTACAGGAAGATCTCCTCTTCTGCTGGCAATCGGTAGCTTTCTTGCACTGTGCCTAAGTGAACTTGAATCCTGATACACTTGAAAAGCAGCATGGCAGTGATCCAGTGGAGCCCTGCTGATCTGAACCCTTTGCCATTTGTTAGCTCACCTCACTTTCTTTGGATGTCCTAAGGTGCTGCTTTTCTCTCTTTGGTTTTTAGGAGAGGTGGTGCCTACTAGTGTTTCAGATGTTTTTACTGTAAAATACTGTAATGGGATGGAGTCCTCAAATCTTCATTCAGGCAAAGCCTCTCAGTATTGGGAGGAGTTTCTTTGGGAGAGAAAGTCTTTTTTTGCAGAACTGCAAAAATAAATGTGGTAATATTAAATGTAAATGGATTTTCATGTTCAGTATTTTTTTAGGAAGCACATCTTGTCTGAAGTTCCCAGCTCTTTTTGAGGGCTGGATATATGCATGAGCCCTGCAGTCTTGTGTTTTTTTTTAAAGCTCGTTTCTGATGAGTTTGAAATTTTGCTACTGAGATTTCTTGGAGTGGAAAATAAACTATTTTCTGTATTAATTCTTTGCAGCATTTGCACATGTCTAACAGGTATGGCTTAGCTTTTTAGGGTGAAGAGACTTATTTCTATCAAAAATAATGCTTTTCCTCAGTTGATAATGTTACTCCAAGGGCACAGTGTGGAGATTGAAAAACTTGCCAAGTGGATGAACAATTAGAAGTGACTTCTGCCTGAAAAGAAGCATGTGGCAAAATTCTCCTGAAACGAGAAAAGTCTTAGTGATTCTTTTAGTCTATGCAAAAGGTATCTGGGGAGGAATAGCCTAATTCAAGGCTTTCCCATGGCTGCTGAACTGACAGGGAATTATTTTTATAGAGAATGACTGCAGATTGCTTTCAGATGCTATTTTGGACAAGCATTTGCAACTTGGCAAGCTGGAATGGACTCATGCAGTGTGTTCCTCTGCTGTAATTAGTATGGAGATAACAATTAGTAGTGTGTCTGGGTTTGTTTGGGCTTTATTTGTTTTTCATCTTCTTTTTTTGAAGTTTGTTGTGTGTAGCTTGTTGGAAGTGTTACTTTATCCACCTGCTTTCTACAGCAGAGCCTCTACTCTGGAGATCTTAGAATTTGAAGTAAGAGCCCATGGTTCAGACTGGACTACGGAGAATCGAAGGGAATGAGGATATGGGTCAGATTGATATGAGCCTGCTGCTATGAGTCCTGCTGTTTAGCTGGTACCTGGGAATGTGCTAGTGCACTGCAAGTACGTATTTTTGGCTTAAAACAATATTTTTATCATTATCTGCCCTCCCACCCAAGTTCAGCTTTCAAGGAGGCCTTCGAGAAGATAATGAATTCATCACAAGAAAGGTAATGGGTAACTTGTTCATGCCATTAGCTCTTCATCAAATGTTCAGTCAACAATAATGTGTCTGTCTTAACTTGCACCAGTGCAAATTTGTTGTAGGAGATGAGGCTTCATCTGGGTTGCTTAGTTCTTAATGTATCCCAGGGGCATAAACACTGGACATAACACTGTCTTCCATGAGGATCTGAAAGAGAGATGATGTTTGGGTTTTCAAAATTTGTTTCTGTGAAGCTGTATTGCCACAATAGATAGCTAAAACATTAATATTACAAAGTTGTCATTAGAAGTTTAAGTAAAACACAGGACTGTTCCCTTGTCCAGAGATGTCTCCTCTCAAGACTGCTAAAGTTAATGGTGAAATTGAGTTACTACTTTGTCAGACAGTTGATGTATCTGTAACAAAACACAGACAGACAATCTGCTGCTAGTGTTTTTTTTGGAGTTGAGTATTCTTGAGTGTTGCATATCACGTATTCATTTGCGTGGTTTTGTTTTCTGTGTCTCAGTAAACTTACTTGTCAAGTAATTAAGCTTCATTGAAAGTCTAGTTGAGAGACTGATTGCAAAATTGCTTTTCTGATTGCAGTTACATGTCAGGAAAATTCTTGCATTTCACCTTCTGTTTCTGTCAAATTTTCTCATTCAAAAGGACACCTGCTAGAAAGGATGAAAACTAGTTCTGCTGTCATACAAGTCATTTCTGTCTTGTGTTTTTGTATTTCACTGTATTTCACTGCTGCAGAGAATTTAATTGTGTAGGGTGGTCAGCAAAGTCTAAAAGAATAGTTAGGTTTTTTTGGTTGTGAAAAAGAGACACTGTCCTGTCCTGCTCAGTTTCAGGAACTATTTCTAGAGTTAAATGAGGTGGTGGCTTAATTTTGTTTGCTCCATATTTACTTAATCTCTTATTTAGAAAGACTTCTCTGTGTCTTGGTATGAAATTGCCATTCTAATCGTCCCTGTTCCCAGGCCCTCTGTACTTTGTGCCATTCTTTTGGGGTTTGGTTACAAGCGCTGCCCATGGTATTCTGGCAGAGACCATATTAATAATTTGTCTTGTTTGCCCCCATCCTAATACCTTTGGTTTTGGTGGTAACTGTGCATAGATTTGAAGTATATTCTGAGGTGATTGTAGGTCTATTTCTTTTGTTCATATGATTAATTTATATCACAGCATATCTTGGGGAAAAAAAGAATCATTGCTTTGGTTTAATAAAGGTTGAGCTTCATTTGCCATCTCACAGGTCATTCATGTAGTGTGGGTGGACCCTTCCAAAGATTTTCAGTATCTTAGAAAACGAAGGGCTGTTCTTTTACGTTCCTCTTTACTGAAATTCAAATAGTTGTGATAATTAGTGAGATTATTGTTCCTGCAAAGGCATCTGTTATACCATGTCTGCCTTATTTCAGTTCTTGTCATCATTTATGGCTTCAGCCAATTAACAAATGAAGACACAGACTTGATAGGGTGCGCTCTGCTTGAGGTCTCATTTTAAAGAAGAAAAAGCCTGATTTTCTGCTCCCCAGCCCTTTGGCATGGGCGTTGGTTTTGGTGAGGGAAGTCAGGTATCTACCAGCTGAGCTGCCTCACGTTGAAACTCTTGGATTCTGTGGGTATCTGTAGGGAACACCTGGTGACTGTTACTCCTTTCTGCTGTTGACGGTGTTTCGGAGTCCATGGTTCCTGATAGCGCTCCTGTGTGTTGCTTGAAGAGAATATGTCCAGAACAGATGAACCTGAATTTTGATGAACTTTCATTTTGCAGAGTACTACGTACAAATCTCTTCTCTCCACATGTGTGCCCTTGCTACTCCTTCCTGGGATGACCCAGTAAGGTATCAATTGTTCTACAGCTTTGTGGCTTCTGAAATACTGAAACTGTGCCTTTTAGTTGTGTGCTTTTTGATAGGCATTTTAGTCTTCCTTTCTTCTTGATTGACCTTACAGCTATTGAAGCTCCTTTTGACTTTGCTAGGAATAAATGTCTATGTTTTGAAGAACCTCTTTTCAGCTTTAATCATCTTTTGAAGCTTGTCAGGCAGGCATAGAGGGGTGGATGTTTTGCCATCCTGTTTTTACTGCGCTGGGTAAAAAGTTTCTGTGACTGTGGTTTCCTTAACCAACAATCCCTGCTTTGCTTAGGGATTTTTGTTTGCCTTAGTTTCAGATCTTTTTGTTTAACATCACCTTGATCAAAGCATTGCTTTCTAAAGTTGTAGCTCTGTTGTGTTTTGGTATCACACCTCCCACTGGCATGTGAAACCCAATTATTTTTAGCATAATTCTTAGTAGTTCAATTCCTGTTAATTACAGCTGTGACTTTGTAGGATAGGCTGAACTGATGTAACAGCTCACTGTTGCCGAGAGGGGCGATTCCCTACCCTGCTCCTGGCTGTCTTGCTGCTTACCCTGTGTTAGCTCTGGTGCTCGCTGTGATGCCTGGGCCAGTGCGGTTAGCTAACCTGGCAGAAAACTAACCAAAAATAGGAAGGCAGGTGGCTTTGTGCTGGCTTGAAGAGTTGAATCAGCTCCTAGGGGAGTTGTGTGGGTTTGAGAGAGGCTGAAGGGGAGGACCGTAGCGCTGGAAGCAAGGGGATTGGGAAGCCGTTTGGGTGCGTTCTGCTGAAGAGCAGAGCTAATCCAGGTCAGGAAGCGTGTCTGTGTCCTGGGACCAGTTATCCCATGAAGTAGCAACTTGTTTAGAAATTGCTCATCTGCATTTTGTTCAACAATTCACATAGGAAGTAGTAAAAAACAAGCACCTTGTTGTTACTGTATTAGACTTTGCTTTTTGGCCTAGTTTTTGTTGCAGCATTATATGCTTTATAGTACCAGCTTCCGTTTGAAGGACAAATATAAACTTGGCAAGAGATTTACCTCCTTGGACCTTGGATTTTATGTCTATACTGGTTCAGCTGCACAGACCTCTCCTTCTCATGAATCTGCTGTTGTGGCATATATTAAGGGCAGTGCTAAATACTAGCCTTCCTCCTCCTTTCCTTCTTTCACCTCTTTTTCTTTTCAGACACATACTCTCACTCAGCTGGTATTTCCGAATAGTCTGTTCGAGTACTGCCCTACCCTACTGCTCTTTCCTTCTCTATTTCAGAGTAATAAGGTCTTTCCAATTGTGAGGCATTTTGGTTAATGAATTTTTGTATAATGGAATAACAACAAAACCTGGATTTTTCTAGCTTTTATTTCTAGTTGGTGGCAGTTTTTTTATATAATGTTTCAATCTGATATCCTACTGTTGTGACAGAGACAGTAGCAATTACTTCCTCTTTAATTAGGTAGCGCTTCTCCAGCTTGACTTGGCAGTTGGTGAATTTTTTTAAACTCCTCCCCAGATATGGCAGTCTAGATCTCTGGAAGAGTATCGTTCTTTTAGCTACTGGTAGAATGAGGATCTCTATATGGTTTTCCAGAGCAGACATTGTATAAATGCTGTACACATTTAATAATGTCACTGCATGTAGATGCAGGCGTTGTAGGCCAATCTGTGCTTCTGGAAGACCTGTGTAATGCATTCCCATTGACATAGTTCACTTGTATAAATGGGCAGGTGAATTGTAGACTGGTTTCGATTTCTAGATAGATCATGTTGCAGTGATGATGGCAAAACAGGGGCTACATTTTGTGAAATCTGCATGTGAAGGAATTAGTTGCAGGCTCCTGGTCATGGCACCAGGAATGGGAGGAAAAGCTCTTGGCTTTTGC